GAACCATGCGCAGTCGAGATGGCGATACCCGACTTCTAGGGCCTTGGTAACGGCGCGATAGGTCTCGCCAGCGGCGCCCTCGTTGGCAAAGGTTCCAAACCCGACGGCGGGGATCTTGACGCCGTTGTTGAGCGTGTATGTCCTCGAGGAGAGCGTTTGTTCGCCCATCTTTGCGGCCGGCATGTCTGTTGCGTGTCGAGAATCGATTGGGCTAGGAAAGGCTTATCAACGAGCGGTAAACGGCGTGTTGTACTGTTTCTCTCGGAGGCGGTGCGTCCGAAACGGTGGTGTTGAGGGTCTGATGGATGATACCGGAGATTAGCAGCAAAATCGCGCAGGTTGGAGTGGTCAGATAGCTGCCGCTGATACTCGGGGTGCATCACATAAATCGGCACATGTTGGCTCGACCCATCCTCCGAGCGGCCACGTGTAAAACCCCTTTGCAGATCTTTTCTGGTTCTTTTTCGCCTGCGCGAGGCACTGGCGGGTGCCGGTTCCTGGTCGGCGGCTTGGATGGTACCGCTTTCAGGCACCGTTCAGGGTCGGTTGCGACTGGCCAAGCCCCTGCCAAGGCCTAGAAGCGGTCTCACCCGCCAATCAGACGCGTTGACGACCGCGGGTGGAACGACGAGAACTGTTCCACAACATGACGTCGGAACTCCACGTGGGGCGCTGCGGCGACGGTGAGAATGTCCCGGGATGAACCCGCCCAGAGCTTGGACGAACGGCAACGTACGGCATCTTGCATGATATGGTCGCGGATGCGCCGGAGCGAGACCCGATTTTCTGGGTTGGGCCGACAAAGGTGAAACAGACACCCCATCCCGAGCTTGTCCGAACTCGTGACGAGTCATGGCGGCGAAACGATTGCCGCCGTCGCGCCGCGAACGAACGAAAAAGCTTGTGTTGGCTGAGTTGGCTCAGCTGAAATTTCGTTCTCGACGAATTCTCGAAGCAACGGCTCGGGCGAGGAAAGAGCAGAGGCCGCGCCCCACCAGCCCCTCCGCTCCCTCACCAAACGCACCAGCTTGACCACTGCGGGCCTTCTTCCAGGCGAAACATGGAGCTATGACGACACAAGCGCACGCATCTACCTGGTAGGGCTGTCAGGGGCGGTGCCGCCGAAGAGATTGCCGGTAGTCTGCTGCCGGTATCCTCCTTGCTAGAGGGTCCTGCCGACTCGAGCTCCGCCGCACCGTCCGCGCACCGAAAGCCCGAATACTCACCGCTTGATGGATTCTGACACTTGGCATCGGGTCATGAGTGGATGTTTCGAGGCAAAATTCAGCTGGAATGCCGTCATTCTGGAGCTGCATCGATGACCCAAAATTCAGATCGGCATCTTTGCCGCACCTTCGGGCGGACGCGTTTACGTATGAGCCGGAAAATAGGGGTTTGCATGAGATCTGGTGGATGAGAGACTTCAACGGGTGACGGGTGAGGAAACGGATCGATATAAGACCGCCGTCAGTCCTCTCCCAACGGTATTTCGGTATCGGCATGCTGGAGTTTCCCCCGTCGCCTCATCAGAGCTCCGTTTACTTGCCTCTCCCTTCCTTGTACAGCATATTGTTTCTTGAGGTTCCTTTCGGGGTCAACAAGCCTTCACAATGGAGAACCCTGCCTTTTCAGATGTCAGCTACAGCGTTCAGCAGCTGAACACGCCACCAGAGTCCCCAACCAAGGCCGAGCCCCCTAAAAGTCGAGTTGTGCACGGACACAAGAAGACGGAGAGCTGGAGCAGTCTCAACCACATCGTCGAGCACAGCATCACCATCCCCACATCGCCAGGGTCACACAACACCATCGAGGTACCGGCAATCCGATCTCCCGGCGCTGATGCGTCTCAGTATATGAACCAGCTGTCAGCGTCCCCTTCTTTGAGGGAGAGGAGACTGTCGAGGAACTCGTTTGGTGCAGCACTTCCCATCCCACGATCAAAACGACAGTCGCGTCTGAGCAGCGTTACAAATGCCGATGTTAAACACGCGCTTGCGTCCACTGACACGAGGCCCGGCATGCCGGTCATGCAGCCAACGCGTGAGATCCTCGTCTCCCACGTCCAAGATGTTAAGGCCGAGAAGGTCCGAGCCGCCAAAAATATGGCTTTCGTGTTTGACATTGACGGCGTTCTCGTCCACGGCGACAGGCTCATCCCCGAGGGCGAGAAGGTCCTCTCCATGCTCAACGGCAACAACGAGCTGGGCATCAAGATCCCGCACATCTTTCTCACCAACGGCTCCGGCAAGCCTGAACTCGCTCGCACGGAGCAGCTCGCGAAGATCCTCAAGAATCCCGTCTCGACCGAGCAGTTCATCCAAAGCCACACCCCGATGCGCGCCCTCGCCGAGTACTACAACACCGTTCTCGTCGTCGGCGGCGAGGAGTACCGCTGCCGCGAAGTTGCCGAGCAATACGGCTTCAAGGACATCATCGTCCCCAACGACATTGTCGCCTGGGACCCCTCCATCGCGCCCTATCGCGTCTTCACCGATGCCGAGCGTGCCTCTTCTCGTCCCCGCGACTTCACTCAGGTCGAGATCGAAGCCATCATGGTCTTCTCCGACTCGCGCGACTACGCCACCGACATGCAGATCATCATGGATCTCCTCCGCTCCAAGAAGGGCCGACTAGGCACCGTCGCCGAGGATCCCGTCTCGGAGCGCATTCCCATCTACTTTTCCCAGGGTGACATGCTGTGCCCGACCGAGCATCCCATCCCTCGCATGAGCCAGGGCGCATTCCGCATCGGTCTCGAGGCCATGTACAAGGCCCTCACCGGCGTGGACCTCGAGCGTGTGGTCTACGGCAAGCCCGAGCTAGCCACGTACAAGTACGCCGACGAGGTCATTGCGTCGTGGATGGATGTCCTCCACGGCGAGGAGCGCGTTCCGCAGAACATCTACATGGTTGGCGACAACCCGGCCTCGGATATTGTCGGCGGTAACATGTACGGGTGGAACACGTGCTTGGTGCGAACTGGTGTGTTCCAAGGAGGGGAGAACGATGAGGAGAATCCGGCCAACTTTGGCGTGTTTGCGAATGTTTGGGAGGCAGTGACGACGGCATGTAAGAAGCAATTGGGGCCGGACTTCGAGTTTGAGTGGGATGATAGGGTAAACCCGGTGTTGCACGGTCAGGCGTCTGCGATTTTGTAAGGGCAACCGCCCAGGCGGCGAGCTTTCGGGGGGTGTCGGACTGGATGGATTCTGGAATCTCGGTCAGGAAGGGGGTGGAGGTTATACCATGTGAGATGTGCTGCGAGACATCAATTTCCTAACGTACATTCCATAGGAGAATGGATCCAATTTCAAGTTACAAACAAACTCTGAACACAACCACACCACCAACTGGAAGCCGTCACAAAATCCCCCACCTCACCAGCTCCTCCTCATTACTTCGTCGATGCGGATCCAACGCGCCCACCCCCAACATACTGCTCAACCCTCCCCACGCCGGATTCTGCTGCGTCACCTCAACAGACACACAAACATCCACCCTCGGCAGCGGCCTCAACCCCTCCTTTCCCCCTCTCTCCCTACTCGCCCCCTCCCGCCTCCACAGATCCTCCAACGGCGCCACCGCCTTCTGCGCAATCTCCGCCCTCATCCCCCCCTCCTCGTCCGCAAACGCCCACGGCAGGTCACACAGCTCCGCTATAGCCCTCAACTCTGCAATCACACTCTCGTCGCTCAAGCAAACCAACCTCGTCTTGTCATTCCACCCCTTCACTACCTCATGTTCCTCGGGAATCTTCACGCTGGCAGGCATGATGAAGCGCTGATACTCCCCACTGAGCAGCACAACCTGTCTATCTTTCGCCGTCTCGAGGAGTTCAATGAACCGGCTGGCTTGTATCTTCTTCCCCTGGAGGGCGAAGAGATTGGGTTTGTATTCGAGGATGTTGCCGAGGGAGATGATGAAGGGGGATGTGGTTGATAAGAAGGGGACGAGGGAGGAGGTGTTGGTGTCGTTGAGGGTGGAGAGGACTTGGGTTTGGATTTCGCGGCGGAAGATGGTGGGGTTGGTGCGTTGCAGGCGGGTGGCGACGGAGAGGGATTCGGGCGAGGTGAAGGCCAGGGGGGGCGGGAGGTGGGTGTAGTAGGGCATGGGGGAGGTGAAGCCGATGGTGGAGAGGGCGGGAGGGTTGGGGTTGGTTGGAGGGTTGGTGTCGGGGGTGGTGGGAGGTTCGGCGGTAGTAGTGGCTGTGGTGGTGGTGCAGGAAAGGAGGGATTCTTCCCAGACCTTTTCGCGGAGTTCGAGGGGGAGGGAGGGGAGGGGGAAGCCGTTGGCTTGGGTGGTGGACTCGGACTTGGTGGTTCTCGGCATTGTGGGCGGTGATGGAAAGTAGGTATTTTTTTTTGAGTGAGATTGAAGTTGAGGTTGTCAAGTTGTTTGCGATAAGCTGAATTTTGATGGTTCTTCAGACTTTGTCGATGAACCGACTTGCACTGGATTTTATCCACCCGGCTGTCGTGGTGTGAGGTTCTGTGTCACCCGAATGAAAAGGAGGCAGCCGCCAAACACGAGTTCGCCCAAGGGTTTGCCTGAGCGAATGGTTGAACATGAAAATCGTGCCAAGGAAATTGCGGCACTGCCACACGACAGATCGTCCCAACTGCCAACACCAAGAAAATGCGCCACATTTCTGTTGCCTTCAGTTACATAGAGAGATTGTCAGTTCTAGACATTTAAACTGAAAGCTAGAATGGGTCGGGTCCCACGGCAAAATATTTCGTGATGTTGTTGCCTGACCCGGGTGTTGTGCGAAGCCTCCTTTGCCCGCCCAATCAGCCAGTTCATTCGAGACAGCAAAAAGACATTCGCCAAAGAAGATCAGGCCACAGCGAACAACTCAAATGAATGGGGTGCAGTCACGAAAACAAAGGGAATTCGATCAGCATTGTCTGCCAGCAGACTGTGCGCCCTCACCCCTTGCCCCTGGCTAGGCGCTTCCCTACCCTCAAAAGGCATGTTCTCATGCATTCTAACATCAACAAGCCTGGTTAGCACAGTGGTAATGCGTTGCACTTGTATCTACCCTCAGATGACATGCAAAGATCACTGGTTCGATTCCAGTACTAGGCATAGTTTCTTTCTTTTTGCCTTCTTTCTCTTCTCGAACTGAATCCTCGCCTGGTCTCGGGCAGTGGCATCATTTCATTTTTCATTGCCACAACGCGGCGCAGATCACAGAGGTGACTTTTTGTAGGCTTCTTTGAGCTCAAGTAAAGCGCCTGTAAAAATGCACGGGACAGAACTCACGTCCAGAAACAAGGCCACAGAAAAAAAACTCTGTCAACGCCATAGAGCATATTTTAAACCATCTCAGCTTGTTGGTGGAGCTACCAGCGAGCTTCAGCGTCTTCCCAGACAATAGCTATCTACCAACGAACATCGCATTGACTCCTGAAAATCCCTTCAACTAATCGAAGCCAACACCACCAACTACCACTTCCCCGGAAAGTCCAAATCATAACCATTCCCCCTCTCCAACGCCCTCTTCCACCCCTCCCTCGCCTCACACCTCTCCCACCACGCCTTCACCCTCGCATACCGCTCCAACCTCACATACCCCGGCGCCACGCCCAAGTCGACAAAAAACTTCAACACAAAATCCGCCCTCCCCGGCTCCCCCCTCCCACTATACCACTCCCCTCCCCCCTCTAACTCCGTCTCCAAAACCCCCATAATCGCCTCGACATCCGGATCCAGCACCATGCTCCCAATCGTCGACTTGACCTTATTCAGCAACGGACGCACAAACCAAGGCGCCATCGCCGCAACACCGGCAAACATGAACTTGGCACCCAACTTCGACCCCAAATCCGACACGCCCAGACAAACGAGGTACTCCTCCCGCGTCGCATCTTCCACGCTTTGATCCGGGTCGTGGAATTTATGCTCCGTGTCGTAGGTGCGGAGGAGGTAGAGCAGGATGGCGCTGAGCTGCGTGAGGACGCGGCCCGAGGGGGTGATGAGCTGGGGGGATTTCCCTTGCGGGTGGGTGTTTTTGAGCTCGGGCGGGGCTTGGCCGAGCCCGCGCGGGAAGGGGGTGAGGGTGTAGGGGATGGAGAGCTCTTCGAGGGCCCAGAGGGCGGATTGGGAGGAGGAGTTCTGTGGGGGTTAGTTTTGTGTGAATGGGAGGGGGAAGGGGGAATTACGGCGAGGTGGATGAGGTTTGGTTTGTCGGTAGATGCGGGGGTTGGTGTTGTCATTTTGGCGGTTGTGTTGATTTTGGGGGTTTTGGGGGTGGAGGATGGTAAGTTGGGGTGTTGGTTCCACGGCCAGGGTATTTAAGTTCGTTGTTTCCCTGGCCCGTGCCGAAGGATGTTGTCGTCGCTCCATCCTTCGCTAGGCACGTGGTGATCGGCCTTGTGGACCAATAAAAATCCAGTGGCATTTCTTGTGCAACCAACGACAAATTCTGCATGGAGCATATCATTGGACACTTGGATGAGTGCTCCGCGGGCGGGTTGGTAGCATCAATTTTAGGGTCACATAGGTGCGGAGAGCCAAACAACAAGGTTGAGTTATGACAGATCGTATTACTGATGCCCGGTCAGAGCTCCGCAAACTCCGGATCCTGGCCCGGGACTGTGAGTTGGGCAAATGCATATCTTGAAACCGCTATGCCGCTGTTGATCCAGCTTGCCGCTGCCAACCGATATCTCCGTCGGCAGGACATATTCTCTGCCTCAAACTTCGATTAGGTATATATGTACCTCCTAGATACCGCATCTCGACGGTCCAGTACCCTTGGCACCACTGTCCACGACGTCGACAGCGCTGTGCACGGTGTCTCGCCGAGGCGCAAGCAACATCCACGCTGGCTGCTTGGCAAAGGCAGCTGTGAAAAGAATAGTGTTTTGTGCACATTGTGTTTCGCTTGGTGTGTCTTGTTTGGTAATATTCTTCTGGCAGAGAGGTGAGGTCGTCGTCATTATCGGTGTTGAACATGACGAGTTGGTATTACCCAATAAGTGCCCCCAGTATCTTACCGCTAGTGAGTCCCTCGGACCGGAAAATGGAAGACGCCGGCTGACTACGCACACGCCGCGCCGGTGTGCTTTGTCTGATCGGAATCACCAGACAAAGCTGCGCGAAATGTTGCTGCTCTGAAGTGAGCATCGACGACTCTTTCGTAAAGATGCGTTCATGTGAAGTATCGTGAGAAGGCAGCCCCAGGAGAACGGTGCAGATATGCATGGCATCGGGAAAACTCCGACCGGACCTGCCTTGTGTGCCGTGTGATTCCGGGGTTGGCCGGCAGAGTGGGGCCGGCCGGGCTTCGGAGGCCCCTGGAACCTGACCTCTAGATGCGGCGCCCGAACCGGGTGGTGTCGGTTCTACAGCGGGCCATACCGGGGCACTGCTTGCACATGGGGGCACAATATGGGGACTTATCGTTTGGACTGCTGGGAAGTACTACAACTTCTTGGGAATAAGTGAGAAAATCCTTTGTCTGGATGCGTTGGGTTGGGAACGACAATCTTGTCTTCATCCGTTGGCTGATAGCTGTCTCTTCTGACCCTGATGGAATCTCTCGGAATTCCTGAGGTTTTCGCTCTGACTGTGAGGCTTGAATTTGCAAACGTGCTAGTGTACTTGGCTAGCAGGCATATCGACGGAGTGATCTTTTCTGACCAGGAAAATGTCTCCGCTGACAAACCCCGGCCACCACTCACTCCAGCATCGCCAACGCATCCTCCACCATCTTTTCTTGATCGTACTCCCAAACCTTCAAGAACATGGGCGCAATCTCCTTGCCAAACTTGCCCCCATCGTTTCCGACTTCCTCGACCTGCCAGTGGAACAGCAGACAAGCCTTCCTCGTCGCCTTCACCACCGCCTGCGTCCGCTCGTATCGAATCTCGTTGTACGCCTCCAGCGCCCTTTCGACGCCCCCAACGCCTCTTGCCGCAGCGTCCATCAGCTCCGAGAGCACCAGCGCATCTTCGATTCCCATTCCGCCACCTGCGCCTAGATGCGGACCCGTCGCATGAGCCGCGTCACCCGCGATGCAAACCCGGCCCTTGTTGTACCTCTCTGCGGGGTAGTCCAGCATGTCGAAAATCGCCCACTTGTCCATCTGCTCAGGCATGAGATCCACGATTCCCCGCACCGTTGGGCCCCAACTAGCGAAGGCATCGAGCACCTCCTGCTTGGAACCTGGACCGGTGTGTTTGGCTTTATCGGTCCATTCTCCCTTGTCGGATAATACCGCAAGGACATTCAGGACCTTGTTGCCGCCGACGGGGTAGGTGATGACGTGGGCGCCGGGACCGTTGTGCATGAAGCGCGTCCCGGCTTTGTACTGACCGACAGCAGCGACGGCGCGATCCATCGGGACGAGGGCGCGGTAACAGAACTTGGAGGTGTAATGCGGGAGGGCCGCGGGGGAGTCCTCGCCAAGGAGGAGCTGTCGGACTCGGGAGCGGATGCCGTCGCAGCCGATGACGGCCGAGGCGGTGGCGGTAGTGCGATCCGTGAAGTGAAGGGTGACGACGGAGCTCGAAGGGGAAGAATCGATGGTGGCCAAAGTTTTGCCGAACTGGACGGTTGAAGAAGGATTCTTCACCAAGCGAGCCCAGGCATCGAGGATGTCGGAGCGAAGACCGCCCTGGAAACCGTCTTTACCTACATGGAGCTTGAAGAGGACTTCCTCAGTGGCGTGGCCATCAACCCATTGGAAGTAATCCTCGCCGTTTGGGTTGGCGGCTGCTTTGAAGGCAGCAAGGATGGATGGGTCGATGGCGGCCATGGCACGCTCGGCGTTGGGGCTGAAGCCGATGCCTGCACCGATCTCGCCAAAGGCTGGAGCGCGCTCATAGATGGTGAAGGGGATCTTGCGTGCCTGCAGACCCAAGGCGAGGTTGATGCCGGTGATGCCGCCGCCGATGATGGCCACGCGGAAGTCGGGGGCGATTTCCCCGCGGTTGGGGTTGGTTGCCGCGGGCATGGTGAACTTTTGCAGAGGGTTCTGCGAGAAGATGCGCGAAGAGTGGTGGCACTGGCAGCGAGAAGACCAACGTCGATCGGCACGTTGGGCGTCTCCCGCAGTCGGATGATGACCCGGTCAAGTCGCACAAGATGTGGGGGTCCGGCCACTCCGGGAAAGGGACAGTCGATCGAATGTCGCCCAAATTGTTGCAGCTGGGTTGGAAATCAGACTTGCGGAAGATTCTCCTCAAACAACACAGCGACTTCGAGTCACTCCAGCCAACGTCTGTTTGGGCACCCCTGAGGGCGGCGAGTGGGAGGCGCTCCGGTCATCGGGTGGGGTTAGCTCCGGACTCCGAGACGCCGGTTTTCCCCGCTATCCGCGCTTCATCGTCGGGCAGCGGGACGGCGCGTCAGCTAGCTCGCTCTAGACCCAACGCAAAGTCGAACAGCGCCACCGAAACGCGTAGCAGATACGCGGCCGGTACGCTACCCATACGCTGATTCAGGGAACATAAATCGATCTTGATCACTGCTTCAAGGCACAGCAGCCCAGCTTCCCCGCATCACACCGAGAGCATCGAGAATCGTCGTCAAAATGCCAGCTGCGAAGGAAAGCCCGGGCAAGGTCCTTTTGACAGGTTAGCCACAACCAAAAGTGTCTTGATCCATTGCTCACCCCTGCAGGCGGAACTGGCTTCATCGCTTCCCATGTCCTCGACTGTCTGCTCGACAACGGGTAAGTCCGAAACCAACCACAAAGCCCTTTGTTGACATCCCAGCTTCACCGTCGTCGTGACCGCCCGCTCAAAGGATAAGGGCCAGCGAATCGTCGAAGGCGTCAACCCTGAAGTCCGCGACAACGTCTCCTTCGTCATCGTCGGCGATATCGCTGAGGACGGCGCCTTCGACTCGGCCGTCCAGTCCTCTCCCCCTTTCGACTACGTCGTCCACACCGCCTCCCCCTACCAGCTCCACTTCGACGACCCCTTCCGCGACTGCCTCGACCCCGCCATCAAAGGCACAACCGGAATCCTCAAATCCATAAAGTCCTTCGCCCCCACCGTCAAGCGCGTCGTCATCACCTCCTCCTCGGCCGCCGTCCTCAACATCGCCCCGGACCACCTCCCCGTCTACTCCGAATC